TGTCCCCAGGCGGTGGCCCTGGGCCGGCGGGGGCTGCTGGCCCTGGTGGCCCGGGGGCTGCGGGAGCTGCGCTGGCGCTCGCTGGTGCTGCCGCGGGACCTGCGGCACCGGGGGGTGGCGGCCACCAAGCGCCACCACTTCGGCAACGACGCCACCAAGGTGTGGGGAGCCATCCGCAGGTGGGGACAGCGAGGGGACACCGCGGGGACAGCGTGGGGACACCACAGGGACACTGGGACAGCCCTGGGGACACCGTGGGGACAGCGTGGGGACACCACAGGGACACTGGGACAGCCCTGGGGACACTGTGGGGACAGCCCTGGGGACACCGTGGGGACAGCCCTGGGGACACGGGTATACCCCTTGGGGACACGGGGACAGCCCTGGGGACACTGTGGGGACAGCCCTGGGGACACGGGTATACCCCTTGGGGACACGGGGACAGCCCTGGGGACACGGGGACAGCCCTGGGGACACCACAGGGGACACAGGGACACCACAGGGACAGCCCTGGGGACACCATGGAGGCACTGTGGGGACATGGGCACACCCCCTGGGGACATGGGGACAGCCCTGGGGACACCATGGGGACACTGTGGGGACACCATGGGGACAGTCCTGGGGAGACCCCCCCTGAGCCCCCCCCTCCCCCCTCAGTGGGCTTGGGTTTCTCACCAGGGTGGTGGCCCTGTCCTGTCCCAGTGTCCCCAAATGTCCCCACTGTCCCCAATGACCCCCCGATGTCCCAAATCCCCCCAATCCCCCCCAATGTCCCCATTGTCACCCCAGGTTCGTGTCAGGCGTTCTCCGCCTGTACTACCCCAATGTCCCCAGGTTCGTGTCAGGCGTTCTCCGCCTGTACTACCCCAATGTCCCCAGGTTCGTGTCAGGCGTTCTCCGCCTGTACTACCCCAATGTCCCCAGGTTCGTGTCAGGCGTTCTCCGCCTGTACTACCCCAATGTCCCCAGGTTCGTGTCAGGCGTTCTCCGCCTGTACTACCCCAATGTCCCCAGGTTCGTGTCAGGCGTTCTCCGCCTGTACTACCCCTCCGACGCCGCTGTCCAGGAGGACCCCGAGCTCCAGGCCTGGGTGGGGGAGATCTTCAGGAGGGGCTTCCTGGGGCGGCGGCGCTCAGGTGAGCACAGGTGGGGGCAGGTGGGGGCAGGTGGGGACAGGTGACACCTCAGGTGAGCACAGGTGGGACAGGTGACACCTCAGGTGAGCACAGGTGGGACAGGTGACACCTCAGGTGAGC